TCCTTATTTTCAAACATCATTGAACTCCTCCTAAACAAATATTCATTTTACTCTTCTTTTTGCAAAATCTTTAAATTCCCAATTCACAATCATTGTATCTCACACTTTTAAAATCATTTAACTTCTCTATTCTCAAACATCATTGAACTCCTCCTAAGACAAAGATTCACTTTGCTTCTTAATTTGTAAAAATCATTGCACTCTCAATAAATATTAATACGAAAATCCACCATTATTGTTCTCAAGGAGAAATTTTGCATCATAAGGCAAAAAACTCACAAATTTGATCTAGTGAATTTCTTCACGAATTAAGCCACACTTGCATTTTTTGTCTATTTTATACATTTCAATAATAATTCATAAATCAATAAACTAATAGACACACACAGGTATAAGATAGAATTCCCCCGGTTACCTCAAACCTTTGAGAAGTTAAAGTTTTCACCCCTCAATTATTCACTCCCAAAGCTTCCAAAAAGCTTGAATGGTGCCAATGATAGTTACACTACAAGAATTTACTATGCAAAACATCAATATTCATTTTGAGCTATTTTCTACTAACATTTCATCATTTCTTAATACTCAAAATTTATTCTAAACTCATGTAGAAGTACCCATAAGGCTTCTTAGCTTCCTTTAACTCTCATTTATAATATTTAGCTCTTAAATGGGCATTAATGAAGCCACATTATTCCCAACCACCAAATTTATGGGAATTTCAGACATTTAATATCGTCCAACCATCAATTATCATAAAATCATAAATATCAAGTTTGCTTAGCTCAATCTACCCCCATTAACTCTATTTAAGTCAATGGGTTCAGGCCCATAACTTCTAAGGACCGAAAATCATCATTATCAATCAAACCGTAACCTCTACCATTAAGAAAATGGAAGAAGAGAGGAAGATTTAAGCAAGAAAACTTACCTTTGGTGTTTATGAGCTCCAAATTACTCCCAACAATCAATTTCTTCAAGCCATAGCTTAGCTTTTTCACCACTCTCTCGTTCTCTTTTGTTTTTTTTTCTTTTTCACTTCAGATTAGCGACTTAATACTGCAAAAATCGGACCATGCACTGCAGCGCATGGCACAGAGAGCCTCTTCTAAGCATGTTGTCACACATACGCCGTAGCAGACCAATCCCACGCCACGGCACGTGGTACAGAATTACTCCTTTCAGAAATTCTTCCTCTTCTATTCCCAGGTGACCCAATTCTCCTTCAAACCCGCGTTTACAATTGAAATCAAGACCAAACACGCCCATTAGGCCTTTCTAGCCACACACCTTATAGATACACTTTATTAGTCTATTTAAGCTTAATAAATCTGAATTTAAAATTGAGGATGTAACCCTAAACTCAAGACCCTCGACCCAAGATGCCGAACCCCAAACCCCAAACCCTAAACCTCGAACTCAATACCCCCGAACCTTGAAACCCCCGAACCCCTGACCCCTGAACCCTAAACCCTAAACCTAAAACCCTAAACTCAAAACCCCAAACCCCAAACTAGAAAGCCCAAAACCCCCAAACCCTAACCCCAAAACCCCAAACCCTAAACCTTAAAACCCAAACCCCAAACCTTAAACCCTAAAATCTAGACCCTAAACCCTTAGCCCTGAAACCCTAAACCCTACCCCTGAACCTTGAACCTTAAACCCCAAACCCTAAACCCTAAACCCTAAAAAGGAAAAAAAAAATAGCTAAGTGAGTATTAAACTAACAGGATCAGTCTCTCGATTCTATGGACCAAGTCCAGTCCTATTAATTTTTAAGTTATCACTTGAAAAGATTAGATTATGGGTTGCCTAACCCAGTCCTTTTTATGAAAGAGACCAAACTTCAGGTTAGGCCGAAGTCCATTGCCGTCCAGTCCTTTATGCAGCCCTACACTTATCCAATCTATTCAAAATGTCACTGATCAAGGTATAATACCTGTCTGGGAAAAAAAGAAAGAAAACATTAGACTGTAACAAATTTAAAAAAAAAAAGAAAAGAAAAAGGCAAATGGTACTATAGATATGGTATTATAGATCTACAGTACCATTCCCGACAGTGTTAATAATAGATTATAAATGTTAAGCTGACATGTGTCAAGCAAAAAAGGAAAAATAAAAAATTGAAGAATATTGAACAATTATATAAGTGAAATTAAAAAAATGATAAAATCAAATTGATATATAAAAAATATATATGCTCTTTTACTTGTTTATATTATTTAATTGAATGATGTTATTTATATTTTTTGTTTAAATAATTGTATTTTTAATTTGAAACAGTCAAGGTTTACTAAGATAGATTAAAAGATGATAAAATCAAAATTTAACATTTGATCATTTTTAAATTGGGTTGGGGATTATATGATTGATTAAATAATTATTCTAAGTATTTTATTTTGATTATGTGGTTTTGGATTTAATAAGCTACCAATTTTAAATTGAAAGTAGCTTGCATAAATATTGAAATTTGATTATATTTAACATAAATAATTATACATATTAGATCTTATTAAAATTTCATCCAAATTTAAATTTTTACAATTCAAATTACAAAATTTCATAATTATATAAAATAAGTTGATAGTGTATTATGTTCTCTTAGGAGCATATAACAATATCCAAGTAACTGAATTTGAATCTAAAAGATTCAAATTAGATTATACAATAATCACTTTTTGAGTTTATATAAATAAATAATTAAAAAAAACCTACAAATTAGCAACTAAACCTAACTCTTGAAGCATAAAATTACACGCACAAACAAAAAAATCCTGAAGCACAAAATCAAGTGATGCACAGGTCAAAAAATATTTTTTAAAAAAAATATGTCTGAATCAAGTATATCCTGATTTCTTATAGTCTTTTTCTTTTTTTAAAAAAAATTTCATTAATTTCTTAATTTACAGAATACCTTTATTAACTTAGTCTAATTTATCATTCATTTTCTCTAGTAACATGATGGAAGAGGAAGATTTAGTATCTAAAGAATAAATTGTTCAATTTACACACGTATGATATCGATATTATTGTCTATTAATATTTTATTGTCTATATTATTTGAAAATTACAATGCTTTAAAATATTATTAAAACAATTTATATTTATATTATAATCTTAATATCAAAAAAATATTATTTTTAATTTCAAATAAAAGAAAATATAATATATAGAACCGGTAACCACTCATTTACTATATATATGGAGTATATATTATAATTTTATTTTTTAAACTAGACGTGTCAAAATATAAACCAATATTTTGAAATCCGGACCGAATATCGAATCAGAAAGAGCAACGGGTCATGATTTTTATGGTCTAACCGGTTAGACCGGCGGTCGAACTGGTAACATAAATATTAAATAAAAAATAATATTTATATGCACAATTATATAAATAAAACATTAATTTGTCAATTGTGCTTGGGATCTTGACTCCAAAAGCTAGATGCTTGAACCGTTAGAGCTAAAGGTAGAGACATGTCTGTATAAGCTTGTGATCTTGAAGGAAAATGCTGGAGCTGGAGGCACGCCGTCATAGCATAACTCACAAGCTTCCGATCTTGATGCCAAAGATTGGATTTCTAAAGCTAGAGGTAGAGGTTGAAAGAAAAGTTAGAGATTGAGCTTGGGCCATGAAGGAGATATTAGAGATTAGAGAAGAAAAGAAAAGAGAGAATTAGTGATTAGAGAAGAGAAATTGTGAATTTAAACAACTTAGCCTAATTTTCTTTTTTTTAATTTTTTTTGCTTTGAATCGGGTAAAACTGGCTCGGTTTCCGAGTCAAATCAGTTCTCTCAAAATCGGCCAGTTCAATTCGAGTCAACCCTGGTCAAATGTCAGATTGATTCAATTGGTTGAACCAAACCATTTTACTCAGCGGGTGACGGTCGGACCGTCAAGTCCGGTCCGGTTTTAACAACATTGATATAAACAATTTGATTACTCCATTTGATATGATTCAACGAATTTTGAATAAATAAATATAGTTAAAGGAATATATACCACTAATAATCACTCATTCATTTTACATATATATTATTTTATTTTCCAAACTTTCTATTTGCCCCATAACTAACTATCCGTATGAATTTTGAATATATAGATATATTACTTTATAATATGATCGAAATTTTTGAAAATCAAAAAGATAGATCAATAATTTTCTATTTAAATTTATGATATGATTGATATAAAACAGTAAACATTGCATAATTAGCTATATAATTTTAGAATTTTAATAAATATAAAAAAATAATACTTCTTTTTCAATCTTAAATTTTTTTCAATCAATCCATTTTTTAAGCTTTATTTTCAAATTATCTTTAGGATATGTTGAAATTTTCTGAAATAATGAGGATTCTTTAGTATATATATAAAAAGAATCTAGATTCAAAAATTTTCAAAAAATTTATATGTGTTTGTACATTCAATCATATAAATCTAGATTTTAGGCATATCCTTATGGTTGATGGAAACTAAATAGATAGGTATTAATTTAAATTTAAATATGATCAGATTTAAATTTCAAATAGGTAAGAAAGTAATTTGTATATATATATATATATTTTTAAAAATTAATAATTCATCCCGCATCTAATTTCAAACCAAAATAATAAATTTTATATACATTAAAAAATAATAAATTATTCCCAACCTAACACCAAACTTACCCTGAAATATAGATTAGTAAGAAAGGCATGCCAAAGTATCAAATTCTAGCCAACCTAAAAATGAATATATAACTTTCTCTTATAGCCTTGACCCTACTTTTATATATACAATGATCATTTGTTACCTAATGACCCATTTTTGCTATAAACTATCATAAACCTTAATTTTTAAATAGGCTTTGGGATGCCTTTCTAATTATTTTCTTATTACTTTTTTAAGGGGGGTAAAAAAAGCAGTGTTGGCGCCCCATCCTACCAAACTCCCAAAAAAAGAAAGTTACAAAATCTTTTTTAAAAAAATTGGGTTGAAAATGGATGGATGGGGAGGGGGTTGCCGAGATGAACAATGGGAGGTTTGGGGTGTGTTGTGGGGGGTTGTCCGCACGGTCGGATCCTGGTATCTTTTTGTATACACTCTGAACGGTCAGTGAAAACATTGTCGCCGCCATCAACCCTTCCTGGTTATACAGACAAAATACAAAGGGGAAATTGCTGCTCTACGAAATGCCGAATAAGTCTTAGACCTCTGTTTGCGCTGCCCGATAATAACGATTGCGGGCACACCGAATCAATCCATACTAAGGACGACGACGTTAATGAAGGAACACCAGCACAGCTAGAATTAACAGGATGGAGGCTGGTTACTGGAAATTCAGGAATAGTATCCTCGTGCTTGGTTGGTCTTCTCACTGGCGTCGCTGTTGTGCTCTTCAATAATCTAGTAAGTTACAATTTTAAACTAATATTAGCCACCAGCAATTGTATTCACCCACGTTAAACCAATATTTTTCCTGACTAAACATGAATAATATGTTAGGAATATTGTGATTGTAAACGAGTAGTTATAGTTGTTATGTTTTGTTAACTCACGTGTATGGCTTGTAATCTGACTGGAGAGGAGTATGTGTGAATTGATGATGAATTCTGAACTCTAGGTCCCCTTTCTATTCTCCTATTATTTCTATTATCTTTTCTCTTATCATAATGTATGATTTGATAGGTCCACGAAATTCGTGATTTGTTCTGGGGTGGGATTCCCGATCAGGGGGCCTCATGGTTGAGAGAACAACCTATTCAGGCAACCTGGACTAGGGTAATATTAATACCCGCTTTTGGGGGCATGAATGTGGCCATGTTGAATCTACTTCTTCAACGTCTTGCTTCCGCCGGGGAAGATCCATTGCTTGGCAATTCTGCTTATCTCAAGTCTGCTTCCCAACCTATTCTAAAGGCTATGGCAGCTTGTATCACTTTAGGCACAGGGAATTCCTTGGGTCCAGAGGGTCCCAGTGTTAATATTGGTACTTCCATTGCCAAAGCTGTTGGGTTTTTCTTTGACAAGAGTTCTAGCAGAATGCTGTCTCTTTTGGCCGCTGGATCTGCTGCTGGACTCTCTTCTGGTAAGATATAATAGTGCAATTTGCCCAATAAATGATAACATGAAAAGTCTTATATTACCAGTTGTGGTTAGGTTGAGACTTTAGAGGTAAGGAGCTTAACATTCCTTAAGCAATATTTTGATTTCAAACCTGGCAGGTAGGGGAAAAAAAAATCATGTTGAGACAGTGTCTCGCCCACTTGGGAATCAACGCAACTTGAATTTAGATTAATTGGTAGTATTGGGTACTTAATGATTAGTGACCAGAAAAATGGAGGACAGTCTTATGTCTAAACTCGTAGTTGTTTGCACTGTATCCTTTCAGTTGGCCAGTTTACATGCGTATTAGGAAGAATAGGGCATGTGATGAAGAACCAGAAATGATTTATAGAAACTTAAAGCTTGTTGATGAAGAAGGAACATAGGAAGCTTGTTAAAGCAGGGAGAAAATTGGATCTGGCACTTTCAATTTTCTTCCTCATGTTAGTAGTCTTTGAGTTGATAAGCTAAAACATCAATTGATTGTTCTGAGCTTTGCAAACTAGATATGCCAAGTCATTCCTTTCCTTTTTTTCTAGATGAACATCATGACAAATTGACTACTCCACTTGAGGTAGTTATATATGTTTAGTTTGTGACTGGTGATATGTCATTGACAATTTTTACTTGTCAGAGCATCTTAGGGCGTGATCTTGTCACATCCAATGTTATGTGATCTTTTGAACGATTAGCCACTTTTTGCAAATTTGTAATATGTAATATGCTGCTAATATTTATGAAGCATTTGCATTTTATTGTGCTACTACTACATGGAATCATTCTGTAACCTTTTCTGCATTTGTTTTCAGGTTTCAATGCTGCTGTTGCTGGTTGTTTTTTTGCTGTAGAATCTGTGTTATGGCCCTCACCCATAGATGTATCTATATCACTTACAAATACTACATCGATGGTAATACTTAGTGCTGTCATAGCTTCGGTGGTTTCTGAGGTTGGTCTTGGGTCTGAACCAGCCTTCAAAGTTCCAGAATATGACTTTCGTTCAATTGGTGGTGAGCCAACTACGTTTTTTATCTTTCCATGTGAAGTTGATATTTAGTTTCATGCATGAGGTGTTTTGTCAATGTGATAGGAAACATAAATAGGGTTATTTTATTATTATCCAAGATAAAGATGATTAAGATTCTTTGTTTTATAAAATTAGTATATCTAGATTATCTGGCATATCTTTTATATTTAATTTAGTTTTGACTGAGGAGTTTTCTTTTCTTTGAATAAGGATTATCTTATCATTATCTTTAAGAACTTGAGTAGTTTAAATTAACGAGATTTTGGACTAGCGTTCTATAAATAGCTTTAAGATTATTGGCTTTTACTTCATTTTACCCATTGAATAAGATTAAAGTACCTTTCAGTTTTCTCTTCCTCAAATTCTTCCCACTTTTCTCTCATTTCTCTGTGTTTTCTCCCTATTCCTTAAGTCTAAGAAATGAGTTGCATTGATTGTAGTTTGTGAATAGTGATATTTGTTGTAAAATTTATATTATATTTTGTTTAAGATCAGCGCTATATTTGCCAAGTTCAGTTGTCTACTTTTTCTGTGTGAAAACGAAATTAGATAGTAAAATTTAATTTATTAAGATGATGCTTCTAATATTTAGAAGGTTGGCAATTGGTTCGTTTGGAAACATTGCTTGCTGTTTAGTGAGGCCTATTTTTTAATATAAATTTGGTATGTATACCATGAGAGTTATTTCACTTTTTGTCAGAGCTACCATTGTATCTATTGCTGGGTATCTTTTGTGGCTTGGTGTCACTAGCCCTTTCTTGGTGCACTTCATATATGATAGCATTTGTTGACAATCTTCACAACACCACTGGCATGCCAAGAGCTTTATTTCCCGTATTGGGTGGTTTATCTGTTGGGCTAATAGCATTGGTATATCCTGAAATCCTTTATTGGGGCTTCGAGAATGTTGATATTTTGTTAGAATCTCAGCCCTTTGTGAAGAGTGTTTCCATTGACCTACTACTTCAGCTAATAGCCATTAAGATTGTTGCAACTTCTCTGTGCCGGGCTTCTGGATTAGTGGGCGGTTATTATGCCCCATCTCTCTTTATTGGTGCAGCTACTGGGATGGCATATGGGAAGTTCATTGGTTATATTGCTGCTGAGTTCAACCCTAAAATTCATCTATCTGTTTTGGAGGTGGCTTCACCCCAAGCTTATGGCCTGGTAACATTTTGTGACAATCTTTCTCACCTGGATCTATGAATTTTATAACTTGATGTAGTATTTCTTGTCTTTCTGAGAGAGGAGATGAATTTGACCTTTCCAATATGACTTTGTGGATGGAAACATGATCCTTCTTGGTGAAGAACTCTCATATTCTATATGTATTAAATGATGATTGCTTAATATTTCTGTTCAAATATGTAAATATTATTCTTATTCTTTTAGTGGGTATTAGCTGGTAGTTAGAGGTTGTATTAGCATTTATTACTCTATGAAGTGGTACTCTTGTAAATACTCCTATACACCTTTGTAATTAGTTGAATCAATATTAGAGAATATTTTTTGCACCAAATTTAACAATTTCAAAATTTTTTAATCTACAAATGGTTTGGCTTTGGCATTTTGTCAAGAACCTGTTGAGTCTTCTAACCTCTTCCTTGCAACACAGAAGTACTATGTTATTATTTTAGAATAGTGACATTAGTTAGTTTGTATAGGCATTAATATGTACGGCCATTAGTAGCCGTTGGGTATTATTCCTATCCCTATAAATACCCTACAACTCAAATTGTAAACATTAAGATTGATCAATGTAGACTTGTGTACTATTCAGCATATACTCTTCTCTATCTCTCTCTAATTCCTCTTCATTCCTCTCTATCTCTCTTGCCTTCTCTGTTCTTCTCTCAATCTCTCTTAATTCTTCCCTACTCTTTACTAGTCCAAATTATTCTCGTACATCAATGGTATTAGAGCAGATGCTCCTTGGCCGCCCCTTCTTCTCTTATTCATCTCAACAGTATATGTTTCAGACCAGAAACCAAATCAAATGAGAAATGGAATAACATGTGGTTCAACCTGAAGAAAACTTTGATAAAGTAGATCCTTTGATTGAATTGGTTGGGGGTATCTCAAATCAGCGGCAGATGCTCATGTGCAAGTGTAAACATGGTCTGGGTAACAAGGGTGATGGAAGCAACGGTCACCATTGAAATTGCGAGCAAGATTTAGAGGATCAGCGTCACCATGACGGCCGCGACTAAAACGGTATCGGTGACCAACACAATTCACCAAGATGGACTTCCCTAAGTTTACACTAGAAGATGTTGAAGGCAGGATACTGAAATGCAAGTGCTACTTCGAGCGTGGTGAAACTCTTGAAGAGTTGAAGGTCAAGATTGCAAGTATGTATCTTAACCTAAAGGCATTCCAATGGCACTTCGCGCATGGAAAGTCATGGGCAGGGGTGCGACCCACTTAGGAAGGGTATATCGATGAACTTAAAGATCGTTTTGGCCCTGTACGTGAGACATCCATGAGTGATTTGGTGCGCCTTAAGCATCAAGGGACACTGGCTGACTGTAGCGATAAATTTGACACTATTTCTTGTGAGCTTAGTTTATCTAAGGAATACTTGGTTGACGTTTATCTTAATGGACTATTGGAAGAAATCACAGGACTTGTTAGATTGTTTAAACCAAGGACTATAAGGGAGGCAAAAAGCCTTGCTAGGATGTAATAAATCACATTAAAAGGATGGGTTGAGAAGAAAAGCTAGCACAAGAATAGTGGACAGTGTAGCTTCCTCCACAGCCATTTCATTAGACTACTTAGACTCCATACAAGAATGCCTTAGGGTATGTTTGGTTTGGAAGGAGGGGAGGGGAAGGGAGGGATTTTGCTCCCCTCCCTTTGCTTGGTTTGTAAAAATGGAGGGGAGAGCCTCCCCTCCAAACCATCCCTTCCAAAATGGGGGGAATGAGGAGGGAGGGGTATAATTTTGTTTTATTGGACTAATATACTTCTACCATAATATGATAATCCAAAAAGGTCCCTCTCTCTTTATTGCCATGTGCCTCTTTATTCAAGTTTTGTTCGTCCTCCTAACTTGTATCGTCATTTTTTGTTCCCCCCTTCATTTATTTTATTTTTTCTATTCTATTTTTTTTTTGGTCATGTTTTGTTATTCTTCTATTTTATGTTAATAAACTTACTGCGTGCTCATACCTTTACTTTGTAAACTTTGTGAGGAAATATAAATGCTAGATAAAAGATTAGGTTTATTCTGATGGAAGGAAATACATATATAGAGGAGACACAAACCCTGGAACAAATAGGATCTAGCCGAGATACTCAAAACAGAAAGAATTAGCAAAATAAACTCCTAAAAATCAGGGATAGATGCGATACATTAAAACACAATAAATGATAAATATTGAATAGAAATTAGGGCATACGGTCCACTAGGCTTTGTTCGGCGCCAACGCTCCCCCTCAAGCTGGTGAATAGATATCAATCATTCACAGCTTGCTTTTAAATTCTTCAAATAATGCTCTAGCCAATGGCTTGGTGAATACATTAGCAACTTGTACTTGTGTTGGTATATGAGCTAAATCAATAATTTCCATGTCTAGGGTTTAACGAAGTGCTTGTCTATTTCAACATGCTTCGTTCTTTCATAATGTATAGGGTTTTCAATCATAGCTATAGTAGACTTGCTATCGCACCTAATCTTAATAGGTGAATCTGTTGTCAGTTTTAGTTCTTTTAGCATTCTTTGTAGCCACATTCCTTCGCACACTCCATGAGCCAAGGCCCTTAGTTTTGATTCTGCACTGCTTCTGGCAACAACAGATTGCTTTTTGCTCCTCTATATCACCAAATTTCCCTACACAAAAGTGCAATACCTAGAAGTGGACCTCCTATCAAGACGTGAACCTCCATGGTCAGCATTTGTATAAATTTTGATTCCTCTAGAATCACATTTAGCAAAGAAAATTCCTCTACCAAGGGTTATCTTAAGGTACTTCAAAATTCTATAAACAGCCTGCATATGCTTCTCTCTTGGATCATTGGTAAACCTACTTACCTATCCCACACTCGACTCGATATTAGCTTTGCTATTTCTTATAACAGATCAAGAGTATACTTCTTTTGTGACACCACAATCCCTTGGTTAGATCTGGCTACCTACATTCCAAGGAAGTATCTTAGAGCTTCCAAGTCTTTTACTTCAAATTCTTTTGCTAATGACTTCTTCAATCTCTATATTTCAACTAAATCATCACTAGTTAGTACTATATCATCAACATAAACGATAAGTATTGCCATTTTTTCCTGAGTGTCTCACAAACATTGTATGATCTATTTGACACTGAGCATATCCCAAGTTCTTAACAACTTTGGTGAATCTTTCAAACCAAGCTATGGGTGATTGCTTGAGTCCATATAAAGATTTATATAGTTTGTACACCATACCTGGCTTTCTTTGTTCTAATAATCCCTCAAGAATCTCCATGTACACCTCCTACTTCAAGTCTCCATTGAGAAAAGCATTTTTAACATCCAGTTGATGTAAAGGCCTATCACAGTTGGCGGCTAAGAATAATAACACCCGAATGGTATTCAACTTTGCAACAAGAGCAAATGTTTCTTGGTAATCAATACCATAAGTCTGCAAGTACTCTCTTGTAACAAGCCGGGCTTTGTATTTATTGAGTTCTATTCAGATTATACTTCTTTGTAAAAACCCATCTACACCCCACACTTTCCTTTCCTGGAGGCAGCTTAGTAATTTCCCAAGTATGGTTTTTTATCAATGTGGTTAATTCATCATGAATGGCTTCCCTCCAATTTTGATGAGAAATTGCTTCTTGCTAATTAGAGGGTAATCTTTCTTCTAATAACTTTACCACAAAACTTTGTATATGAGGTGAGAGTTTGTCGTAAGAGACAAAATTACTAATAGGGTGCATAGTACATTTTCTTACCCCTTTCCTCAAAGCAATAGGCCACCCACGATCATCAGAAGCTGAAGTTGGACTTGAATCCTAGACCTGCTGAGAGCTAGAGGGGTGATTAGGCTCATTAATAGTCTCTGGAAGAACAGCAGCCTCGGCCTCTTTGGATTCTGTACTATCAATCACAACATGATCAAATGTATTAGGTTCAGTGTTGTTTGGCCCAGGATCAGATCTATCAAGGTCCACAATTGGTTCTCGGATGGTTTGAGAGGAGTCTTGGGTGGTCTGAGAAGGTTGTGGGTCAAGGATAGGATCATTGGCAGGAAGAGTTGGTGACAAAGTCAAAGGTTCATTAGAGAAATTTGGCTGTGCAGGCTCCCATTCATAGTCACTCTCCCCTTGAATGGGAGGACGAGGGTAATATGGCTGAGTTTCAACAAAAGTGACATTCATGGTGACAAAAAATTTTTTAAGAGGTGGAAAATAACATTTATAACCCTTTTGGGTAGATGAGTATCCTAAGAAGATACATTTCAAGGCTTTGGGATCAAATTTGCCACCATTATCATTATGTACATAAGCAAGACAGCCAAAAACACGTTCTTGGAGATAGTTATTTAGGTGTGTGGTTGGAAAGGTTTTTGTAAGAACCTGAAGAGGTGTATGGAAGTCAAGGGTCCTTAAAGGTAATCTATTGATTAGATGAGCAGCAGTAAGAATAGCTTCTTCCCAATAATGTTTTGGAACACTATGGGTAAACATAAGAGCCCTAGCAACTTCTAAGAGGTGTCGGTTCTTTCTTTTAGCAATGCCATTTTGTTGTGGTGTATGGACACAACTAGTTTGATGAATGATGCCATTTTGGTTCAGGTATGTTTGCATGGCTAAGCATGTATACTCCCTTCCATTATCGCTAAGGAGAACTTTAATGGTAGTTTGAAATTGAGTTTTAATCATGGCATGAAAGTTGATCAAAATGTGGACAAGGTCAAATTTTTCTCTCATAAGGAAAACCCATGTGAGTCGAGTGTGATCGTCTATAAAAATGACAAACCACTTGGCATTAGTTAAGGAGGGATTGCGAGAAGGTCCCCAAATGTCACCGTGCACAAGAGAAAAAGGTTCAGATGGTACATGTGGATGGGATTTGTAGGTGCTTTTTGTGTGCTTCAAAAGTTGGCAAATATCATAGTGTAAAGGAAATATATTTTTACTCATAGAATTGGGAAACAATTTGGACATGTAATGAAAATTTTGGTGGCATAACCTATAGTGCCACAACAACACTTCATTATTTGTAAATTGATCAAGTGACTTTGATTCAGCAGCAAGACTAGTTGAGAAGCCATGTTCAACTTTCTGTATAGCCAAACAATAGAGCCCCTCTATCATCTCAACAGTGCCAATCATCTTCCCCAACTCCAAGTCTTGTAAAGTGCACAATTTAAGGAGAAAGTTAACACCACAAGATTGATGCAAAGTCACTTTGCTCATAGAAAGAAGACTGCACTTCAATTTTGGAGCATATAAAACATTTTCAAGTTCTAATCCATTGAAAAGATAGGCTGTACCAATTCCCTGAACTCTAAGGGATTTTCCATTTGCAACTTTAATAAACATAATAACTTTATATGGTTGTAAATTCTGAAGCAAACTAGGGTTACTCGTCATATGATCAGTGGCCCCTGAATCAACAATCCCCATTTCTTTGTGATGAACCTTAGAATTTAAGGCAGGAATTGCATTACCTGTGAGGGCAATATTGCTAGAAGCTATATACTTTTCATATGAATCATGTTTGTCTAACATCTTCCGTAAGAGGTCAACTTCCTCCTTACTTAGCATGTCATAATCAAATTTGTCCTCTGTAGTGGCAGCAAAGGCTCTATTTTCTGACTTTCCTCTCCCTTTTTGATTAGGTGGCTTACCATGAATTTTCTAGCATACATTCTTGGTATGGCCAGCTTTTTGATAGTGATCACACCATTTGTTGCTTTTCTTTCCCTTGCCATCACCATTTTGAGTTCCCTTGGATACAAGGGCATTTGAAGTAAGATCTTCAGCATTAGGTTGCTTATATGTGATCAGTTTCTTTCTGCTTTCTTCATGTTTTACAGCAAAGAAAACCTCTCTTACTGATAGTAGAGGTTCAAGGCTCATGATCTGCCTAAAATATCATTAAAGGCATCATCCAGCCCCAATAAAAATTTATTTATTCTCTGCTCCTCCTTAATCTTGACATATCAGGCAGCATCTCTAGGACGCAACCACTTGTGTATTGTAGGTGTCTAATTGCTGCCAATACATAACAAGATTAGTATAATATTGTGTAACGGATGAAGTACCTTTCCTTAGATCATGAAGAGCTCCTTTAATTTCCAAAATTGCAGCTTTGTTTTTAACAGAGGCAAACATATCCTTGGCAGCCTCCCATACTTCACGGGCTGAGCCAAACAAAGCAAAACTAGCACTAATATCTTGGGTCATTGAATTCACTAGCCATGCTTGAACAAGTGAGTTGTCAGCCTCCCAAGTGCAAAACTTACTATTGGTCAAATCAAGTCTTGGAGTTGCTCCAATAAGGTGCCCGAACTTTCTATAGTTCTAACCGTTCAATCTATGAATGGTGATTGCAGCAGCATCATTTGGTGCTTGGTGGCTTGTACTGGTATATGGGAAATTTTTGTTCCCAGTTGATCCATCACTGTCACCATGGCCTTCGTTGTGCAGCCCAAATCCGAATTGGATCGTAGCTGCTACAATACCATGGGGAAATATGGATGCTAGATAAAAGCTTAGGTTTATTCTGATGGAAGGAAATACATATATAGAGGAGACGCAAACCCTAGAACAGATAGGATCTGGCCGAGATACTAAAAACAGAAAGAATCAGCAAAATAAACTCCTAAAAATTAGGGGCAGATGCGATACATTAAAACACAATAAATGATAAATATTAAATAGAAATTAGGGCACAGGACCCACTGGCCTTTGTTCGGCGCCAACACTTTGAATAAATTATTATTGAATATATTATGGGCAATATTTATATATATGAACTATGGATAATTACATACTTATAATTATATATTAAAAATATTCATAACTATATTTTATTAGGAAAAATTAATTTTACTTATATAAGGGTAAAGCTGTCTTTATATATTTATTTTATCTCCTCTCCCCTCCTGAACCAATAGAGAGAAATCAAAAACAACAGCCCTAAACACAAAGGCTCCAGTGCAGAACGAGACACAGAAGACCATGAAATTCTAACAGAAGGTTCCCTAGACTTGGGAAATACCAAGAACTGGTTGGAAATAGGTGTCACGCACTCCTACTCACCTCTGTCTATCCACTGCACTAGAAATGCCAAGTGGTGCGCGTGCATTCATCGTCAAACTTGTGGGTCTGATCGATCAAGACCTTCTGAACTTCCCTGGGATGGCGGTGAGAGCCAATAAGATCTCCAATAGCATGAACATAAAATCCCAGAGACGCCAAACTGAGGCCTCCCTTCAACCCATTGCACAGAGAGCGGATATGGTCTTTAACCCTAGGCAAGATTTTCAAACCCTATGGGCTTTGATACCATGTGGTAATTGAGAGAAAAATATTTCTCGTCATTGATTCAAAATTATGTTACAACTGGTATATATACACAAAGCTGAAAGACAATAATAAATTCTAATAACTCCTAATAATCAACAATAATCCCTAATAATTAGGGTAGAATATTTACAATAAATTCAGATATTCCCACACCTACCCCTTTGAAGCTTTGGCCAATCCCAATATTAGAATGACTGGTCAAGAAAATCAGGGAGTTGATGGCATTGCTCCAGTTTATATTAGAGGCCACAAGCTCAACGAGTGTAACTACCCAGCTTGGACTAGGTCTGTAATGATGTTTATTTGTTGCTAAGGCAGGGACGGATGCCTCACTGGTGAACCAAAATGCCAGCAGCCACAAATCCCAGTTACAAAACTTGGAAAGCTGAGGATAATCAATTGATGGCATGGCTCACAAATTTTATGAAGCTAAGTATCGGTGAAACCTACATGTTCTATGAGACTGCTGAAGAGATTTGGAAGGCTGGTCAAGAAGCATATTCAACCCAAGAAAGTGCCGCAAAGATATTCAAAATTGAGTGTACTTTCCACCTAGTTAAGCAATGTGAAAGGCCTGTATGTCAATACTTCAATGAACAGATGATTAGTTATACTTTAATGTGAAACAAATTGTTAGTTAAACAATGTGAAAGAATAATGTACGAACAAATGAAATGATGCTGAATATATAGGAACTAGTGGATTTCTGGACAACCGGAGCTAGCTACCGTTATTTATGCTACTTCTTAGGGTACTCAAGTAGTTGCAATAGTTTTCAGAACCATCTCTTAACAACGACTCTTAACTGCTAATCCAGTGTAATAATAGAAAATATATTGGTCCTTGCATTTCCTTGATATGAGCATATGGCTGTTCAATTGGAATGGATTCATCAGTTTCTTGGTAGGATTAGACTTGCATGAATATTGAATCAATGCATGAAGAAGCACGTTGAACAGATTTGGAAACTGATTATTTACTTGTATTTTAACCTCTTGTATGTCTCATTCTTGTGGTCAAGAGAGTGATGGCTGGGAATATCCAATTAAATATTCTTTTTGGGAAAGAATTAAAGCTTCTTTTGCAGGTTGGAATGGCTGCAACTCTCGCAGGAGTTTGTCAGGTGCCTCTGACTGCCGTGTTGCTGCTGTTTGAACTGACCCAAGACTATCAGATTGTTTTACCACTTCTTGGAGCTGTTGGCTTGTCTTCATGGATTTCGTCTGTTGAGACAAAGAAAGGGGATGACCGGGGCACCGTAGAGCACAAATTTATAAACTCAGATTTAATTATTCTTCCAGAAAAATCTCCCCGTAGTTCAATTGGATCATCTATTAATTGTGCCATTGCCGAAAGTGTGCCTAATACAAGTAACTCGTGTCAAGTTGAAAGTCTGCTTTGTGTAGAAGATGATATTGTTGAAACCACGCATTTAAGAAGAAAAACATTAGTTTCACAAGCCATGAAGACGAGATATGTGACAGCCTCAATGGGCATACGGCTTACAGAAGTATTGAGTCTCATGCTTGCAGAGAAACAGTCTTGTGCAGTGATTGTTGGTACTGATCATACTCTAATTGGCTTATTGACACTTAGAGACATCCGAGAGAACAGCAAATTTGCAAAAACACGAAGCAAAAAACCCAAGGTAGAAGAATTACTCTAATCTTAATTAGATATATAAAAATATATCGTTTATCATTTTTATGCACTTCCGCATTCTGATGTTACAAAATCAGTAAAAAGAGAGCCAAGTTTTGGTAACTATATTTCTAGGTTCTTCGTGATATATGGTGCAAATAGAATTAATCGATGATTGAAAATCACTTGTACTTCGCCCTTAAGAATAAATAATTAATGATAGGTACTTTTTGAAAGTATTCTAGGGAGGAATTATCCATAAAAGATGTTGAATGAGGTGAAGTTATAAAAATACACTACAGCATGATTAACAGAGTGGTTATAGAGTACAAAGTGTAGTCTTCCAGTTATAACTATAATTCGAACAAACTTTAGTCTCTGTAACTACTCCATAACTAATATTTCAGTCTTGTCTTTACTTACACTCTTTACATCTAACCTGGAAAAAAACAAATCCAAGTTTGCAATTTGGAAGATAATTATTATGTTTGCATAAGTAATTATATTTCGTAGGTAAAGATTTGGCAGCTTTGTATTAACCAAATGTTATGAGAAGGATATATATATATATATATATATAGACACACACACACACACATTAAGATCTTTAAATTATGCTGAACTTAGTTTACAACTTAAAACACTACTTCTATAGTTGAGCTTGGAATTGTCTTTGATCTAATCAATTGACATGACTTAAATGCTGAACTTATCCCAGTTGATTGTGACCTCATATACATGACAAGCTGATTCTTTTGCAGGAGCTTTTAGTTTCAGAACTGTGCCTTTTGGGAGGTGGAATATGTAATGTTCCATGGACTGCTACTCCTGATATGGATCTTCTTTCTGCTCAAAAGGCTATGAAGAAACATGGAGTCAATCAAGTTCCAGTTGTTGAAAAGCTCTGTGAAAGGGCATATCCAGTTGGCGTATTAGACAGTGACAGTATCAGTTTGACTTGCAGGTTCTTATTTGGTCATCATACTCTGGTAGTTATAAATCATAAGTCAATGTGAAGAAACCAAAATGAATTAAAACCTTGCTCTTTTGTAAGAAAATCTAAAATGATTTTAACCTTAACACGCTTTTTTACACTAAATCCATCCTTGAAATTTAAACAGAATACGGACTTAAAGCCGTACTATAGTGCATTTAATACTGCTCTGTTAAATTTTTTTTTTTTATATGATCGTTCAACAGACTATTATGTCAGCTAGGCTGAGATATACCATGTCAATAGAGCCATAAAGTTGATCTCTTTCATTGTTAATGACTCAAGAATATTTTCATCACTGTTTTTGTGTTTTAAATTTTTAAAATGTTTGACAGATTTTTTTTTTTTAATGTTGCTGAGAATGTTAGCATGATTAATCTCACCTGTAATGTTTTCCTTGTATTACCCCTTTTCTACCATAACAATTTTTTTGGAAACATAATCTTCAAATGGAACTGGAAATATGGTTTCCCAAGTTTCTGCAAAATAAGTAGATTTTCCCTAAGTTTTCTAATAGAAGTAGCTGCTTCGAGGACTTTGAGGTTTCGAGGTTAGATTCTTTATGATTGCATCTGCTTTTCGATGCTTTTATCTATGCCATGGAATGTGTAGTAAACGAAATGCTACCTTTTGGTAATGCTGGAAAATAGTGAATGTCGATAAGATGGGGAATATTGAGATTGGATTTCCTTAGTGAGGGAAAAGAAACATATTAGTGGGTTGTTCTTGAGGAGTACGGGAAAATCTAAAATGGCACGGCTGGAGATAATGAGCCATTGGGTGTAGAAGCTTTGCAGGACTCTATATAATGAGCTTCAGAGAGAGAAGAATATTGTAAAAGATGTGGAGAATCTTAAAGATGAGAATTGTTATTTTCTCTTTCTTCTTGTGTTAGTCTTTTATCCCACTAAATTACTTCTATTAAATGCAGTGCTTTGGCCACTAAAGAATCCCTAGCGTAATATGCAACAGTGGAAGGACATAATCATCATCAGAGAGATGCAGAATCTGCGCTTCAATATGGTCCTCTCCCCAATAGCTGTCAGCGGTGTAAAATATTAACCGCTAGATTGATCTGACACTTGGATTTCTTGGTAAAACAGGCATTTCCTCTCTCTCTCTCTCTCTCTCTCTCAATCTCTCACCCCCCCCTTGCATTCCTTATGTCTTCCCTCATCGATATTTTTTTTGGAATGAAAACTGTAGTATATTCCACTCGAAAAAGGTCCATGTAAAAAGCAGAGAAAACAAAAAGATTATCTCCTCTCATCATCCACCACCTCTGGATTCGGAGGGAGTGGATGATCAAAGGTGTAAAAACAGAGAAAACAAAAAGATTATCTCCTCTCATCATCCACCACCTCTGGATTCGGAGGGAGTGGATGATCAAAGGTGTAAAAACCTACATTCTTATTGTGTCCTAATCTATCTAAATCATATGAGTATTCGACTCATTTTTTGTCAAAAACAAGAAAAACATTCCAGTTCCTAGTTAGAATCTCTCTAGCTTCATGGATGATTTCATAATATGGACGACCCTCCTAGCACTGAGCACATTCAGTTGAGACTCGGATACTGTCCAGTCCTTTGTTCCAGCATAAATTTATTCCTACGGCAATAACTTTGGCTTCTCCAATGACCTGTGGTAGTTGTTCAATATTTGCATTGAATCCGCATATCCATTGTCCATTGTTTCCCCATATAATCCCTGCACTAACGCTATCTCAACTGTGAAAAGAAGACCCTTTTACCGTGAGTGATACTCGGCAGCTTCTCCCTAAATTTATTGAAATCCCCATCCTACCCCAGCTAAATAAACGTACATTACTGGTATGGACCATTAGATCGGTATAATTGACCAATATTTGGCACTGGAGACAACTGTGGCAGATATGAAATATTCATCGGAGAGGATTCGTATTTTATTTTGCTCTCATATGAGTATCATGATGATGATGATGATGATGATGATGATGATGATGATATTATGAGTGTGTTTGGTTTACCCCTCAACTGTCGAGAGTGGGAGCTGGACTACGACAGGCTCCTCAAGGTGAATCGCAATGTGACCGATGAGGAGCTCAAGAAGGCGTACAAGTGGTTGGCCATGAAATCGCATCCAGATAAGAATCATCAACAATCAGTCAAGAAAGAGGAGGCTGAGGCTAAATTCAAGCAGATATTTGCGGCTTATGATGTTCTCAGCGACCCCAAGGCGCGCCAGATCTATGATTTTTACGGTCATTATCCATTCTTGTGGGATAGATAGGAAAAACGGTAAGAATGAGGGAATAGGCAACCAGAAGTAAGATTTTTTATTTTATCAATTTATTTTATATTTTTAATCTACTTTAATAGAAAATTGTAATTTTAAGTTTAATATTTTTTTCTAAAAATATTTAGTTAGTCACAAAATTATTTATATGAGGAATTTCATATCCATTTTTGTTGTACATATCAACGGCTTTTTAAATCAAATCATGTAAACAAATTTTAGTATGTCCAATTAATTTTTTTAAAAAAGTATTCAAATAAAAATAGTGTTACTGTTACAAACTTTTTACCCTAGTTTTAGTTAATTCTAATCTTAAGAATTTTTTAATCCAAAGTTCCAAACACATCTTATAGTAGGTTGTTGCAACTTGCAACTATTATTTTAAAATTTGGATTAGACCTAATAGTTAGATTGTCAATTAGAGTCGTTAATGACTTGATTTGGATTAAAATTATTTTGATGATTGAATTAGATTAGACTAGTATTGAGTCATTATAAGCCAAAAATTGGAGTTAAATTGGAAATTGAAATGGTTTTCACCTTCTTGGTAGTGTTTAACTCTGTTGTTGTTTTGGGGTTTTCTCTATGCATGTTCAATTTCATGCTCAAAACCTAAAGTAAACCAATCATTCTCAGTTCTCCAATATAATTTTAGGTGCCTTTATGGCCAAAATAAATTGTTGTCCTGGGGTGAGGATCATACTAGGTTGCCCAGTGTGCCTGACTTGAAATGGATTGGAAGGAGTCTCTCCTCGCCTTTTTATAATATGAAAGAGGGGCTAAAGCTCAATACAATCTACATAACACTCAGGCCATGTTTGGTATGATGAAAGAGTTTTTAATGGAATTGAAATCGGAATCAGAATTGGAATTGTAATAGAATTGGATTTAAAAGTGTGTTTGGTATGATGATGGAATCTTGATATAATTTTAATAAAATATAAGTACTTAAAATAAGAAAAGACCAAACTGCTTTTTTTAAAATTAAAAAAAATTATATTGGAGGAGGGAGAAGAGGCAAACTGTAGAAAGGGAATCATGGAATTGAATTTCATGATGCATGTGATGGAATTGGATTTTGCCAAATTTCCTTGAATCCAGATTCCAAAGAATCATAATTATTGCATACCAAACACATATGTTAACAGATTTCATGTCCAATTTCATTTCTTTCTCCATGATTCCAAGCTACCAAACAAGGCCTTAAAGATGGGGGTAAATATCCCAACAAATTACTCTGCACAGTGTTCCTAACATAGGAACAACATCAGTAAACTGAAAATAAACTTGGCTTTGGAGACATCTCATTGCTATTTTGTTTGCAACCATGCTTGCTTCTCCAGTAGTAACTTGTAATCGTACCTCCTGTGAGCATTGCATCATCTCTTTGACGCAAAAGAATTGAAGGGAAGCCAATGCAATCCGCAAGTGGCTTGCAATCTGTCTCAAAGATAATATGAGGTAGGCCAAGGTCCAAAGCAGTAGTCATTCCTTTATATAAAGCCCAAACTTCAACTTCAAAGGGTGAACATGTTCCACTTGATAATTGGTCGGGTAAATATGGTTCAACATATATCATGATATTTACTCGCAGAGCTAGGAATCTTCACGAATGCAACACAATATATTACTTAAAAAAGGGAGAATGTCATTAAGAGCCCTAAACAGCAAGAATTTTACAGATAAGGTCAAATAGATTCTGAAATTATTTTGAGGGCCTAAAGGCCTCATTTGCAATTATATTTTTTGGTAAAATAACTAATTTGTCCCTCCTATAACTAACTGCTAAACGAAAATTGTTTCTTCTTCCTCCGTCCTTCCTCCCTTGTCCTTCTTTCTCTTCCTTTGTTCTTCCTCCCTCGTCCTTCTCTCTCTTCCTCTTTCAACAATGATACAATAACCAAATTCATTTTTCTCCCCATCATGCTTCTCTATTCTCTCTCTTCTTCTTCCTCCTCCTTTATTCTTTCTCTCATTTGAAGCTTTTTCGTTCAACAGGTATGAGTGGGTGATTCACTTTTATCTAGATGGGTATGGAGAAGACGATCAAGCATTCGTCTGATTACATTCCTCTCACGCTAACCAACTTCTTGAAACGATTCGCTATAGTGTAGAAAGAATAGATCAAGTGCTGCATCTGCTATTATCAGTTTTATTTTGTCAAAAAAGGATATAGAGAGAGTTTGAGCCATTTCAGTTTTATCTAATCATAATGTACGCATTCACGTTCATTTAATGAAAACAACTTGTTATTTATAGACTTTTTGTTGTTTCTGATACATATTTTTTTGCAACTGATATAAATGTTCTAATGTAGATGTTGTTTATGAAATTTATGTTGTTATTTATGGAGTTTACGATATGCAAAATTTGCAATTAACTTGTGCAGATATTTATGTGTATCATATCAACAAACCTTGTATTGTAAATATATGGACATTGTGTTGTTAGCAAATGGATACTTTCATGTTATATAAAGACCTTTTGTTCTTCATTAACTTGAAAAACTTTTTCAAATGTTCGGTTTAATCATACAAATCATGTGAAATAGATGGACATTGTGTTGTTAATAAATGAACCTTGTCCTGTTATATACAGACTTTTTATTGTTCATAAACTTGAAAAACTTTTTGTTAAGTCTAGCCAACTGATAAACTGGACACACATGGACTTTCAATTTAGAATATATGAAGATTGTGTTGTGCATAGTGGATATTGTGTTGTGCATTATTTGCTTACTTGCGCATTTTTTTAAGCGTAGCCTACTGATAAAGTAGAATCTTATGAACTTTTAGTTGAGAATAAATGAATCTTATATTGTGCATGGTAGATATTGTGTTATGCATTGTTTGCCTATTTGTGCATTTTGTTAAGCCTAACCTACTGATAAAGTAGAGTCGTATGAACTTTTAGTTGAGAATATATGAACCTTATGTTATGCATAGTGGATATTGTGTTGTGTATTGTTTGCTTACTTGTGCATTTTGCCAAGTCTAGCCTACTAATAAAGTAGAATCTTATAGACTTTTAGTTGAGAATAAATGAACCTTATATTGTATATAGTGGATATTGTGTTATGCATTGTTTGCCTATTTGTGCATTTTGTTAAACTTAGCCTACTGATAAAGTAGAATTGTATGGACTTTTAGTTGAAAATATATGAACCTTATTTTGTACATAGTGGATATTTTATTGTGCATTGTTTGCTTACTTATGCGTTTTGTCAAGCCTAGTCTACTAATAAAGTAGAACCTTATAGACTTTTAGTTGAGAATAAATGAACCTTATATTGTGTATAGTGAATATTGTGTTTTGCATTGTTTGTCTATTTGTGTATTTTGTTAAGCCTAGCCTACTGATAAAGTAGAATTGTATGTACTTTTAGTTGAGAATATATGAACCTTATGTTGTGCATAGTGGATATTGTGTTGTGCATTATTTACGTACTTGTACATTTTGCCAAGCCTAACCTATTGATAAAGTATAATCTTATGGACTTTTAGTTGAGAATAAATGAACTTTATATTGTGCATAGTGAATATTGTATCATGCATTATTTGCCTAACTTCAATATTTTGTTAAGCCTAGCATAATGATAAATTGAAATCACATGGACTTTCAAGTGAAAATATATCACAAACTTTTTTTTCTTACAATTGTCTTTAACTAGCCGTCCTCCCAAGAGGCCATGAACAAGGAGGATAGAGTCTTCTAAGATAAGAAAATTTATCATTGTTCAAGATGTGGAAGGGCTGGACACAGTTGCAAGACATACAAGAATCCTAATGCAGCATGAGAAGTGATTACATTATACTTCTTTGATGTACACAAGCAACTATAATTATGTATATGAAAGCATTTTCAAATAATATTTTTTGGGTAAGTGGGAATCACAAATATTTTTTGTTTGTATATGTAGAAGCAATTGTTAGATATTTTGGATATAGTGGTTAACTTTTTGTATATATCAAACTCGAAATATTGTGTCAAATTTTATATGGGTACTTGTTTTAGTACCTAGGCTAATACCAACATGAAATTATTCATATATGATGTAATTGTCCTTCTTAATATTGGAAATGCATAGACTTTCTGTTGAGCATGTGTGGACATCGTTTTATGCATAGTGGATGTTGTGTCATGCATGGTTTGCCTAATGTCATTTTGTTATAGCTTAAGCTAGTGAAATACTGAAAATGTATGATTTTTTTTTTGTTCAGCACAAGTGGACATTGTATTATGCATAGTAGATATTATGTCGTGCATGGTCTGCCTAGTCATTTTTGCTAAAGCCAAAGGCTAGTAAAATACTTGAAATACATGGACTTTCAATACATGGACTTTTTGTTGAGATGCGTGAACATTGTCTTATACATAGTAGATGTTATATCATGTATGGTCTATTTCGTTGTTTTGAGAGTTCATGCAAATTCTGAATTCAAATCAAATAAAGGGCAAAATTGTATTTTTAGTCTCAAAAAATTTGGCAATAAGAGCCTTAAGGCCTACAAAGCAATATCAAATTTATTTAGATACAAATTGCAATAAAGTTTGTTTTTAAAGCCCTTAATGCCATTCTCCCTTTAAAAAATTAATAATTAAAAAATATTATTATTATTTAAAATAATTGCATTAGGAAAAAAATATAATAGCATGAGTAAAATTATTCATATTTTTATTTGTTAAAAAATATATTGAGGTTTTTTTGGTCAAAAATACGTTAAAAAGGTTGATATAGAATTTAAATTTAATTAGTTGATTAAGGTAATTCTCCTCTCTTCTCCATGCATTTTCTCCAAGTTTTTGGGCTTGCGGAAGTGTTGTCTGAATTTTCAGCAAATTTTCACCTGTTCAAATGACTCTAATGGAGTCTAAGGGTGTTGTTTTAGGTTTCTAATAACTTGTTATTGTTAATGGTTGTAGCTAAAGTTGTTAATGATGGCTTTAAGATTAGCTCTGGCTCTAAATAATCAAATTTAAGCTAATACAATGGGCTAACAATGTTAGTTAAGCTTAATGAAAGGAAAGTTAGAAATTGGATTGTTTATAGTTAATATTTCTAATTAAGGTCTCAGGCCTTAATTGTGATTAAAGACTAATTAATAACAATTAGTTATTAATGACATTTGTTAATCCTAAATTGTAGATTAAGTATTCTTGGAGCTCGTGGGTTGTTTATAAGCTTTCTCGAAATTCAAATTGTACTCTTGGTGTGGTAAACCAAGAGTTAAGATAATCTATAGTTAAATTATAGTATATGCTTGTGTTTGCAACTATGAACTTGATTGATTATGGTATGTGAATGAATGGCTTTATGCTATGCTATTGAAATCTTGCATGTGAGCAAGTCTTGAGATTCATGATATGGGTTATGTAATGGATAAATATGTATCAATTGGTTGGATGGGTTTAATGTTGGTTGTTTAAGCATGACTGCTTGATGATAATGTGACTGGATGTAATTTATTAAACATGACGGAGATTATATGATTTCTTGATTATAAGGATAATTATGAGCTAATTATTGCTTTAGCTATAACATGCCATTGTGCATAACATGTTGATCATGATTGTATAGCGTATTATGATTATGGAAATGAGATTAAATGTAATTTAGTGAACGTGCCTATGTATTTATAACATATAAATGTGAGAGTGATTATTTGGATGGATGAGTGTAACATCCTAAATTTCAATCCAAAAAACTAGTTGCTAATTAGGGATAAATCAGTAATTAGTGAGTTAATCATGGTTTTGGATAGTGAGTTAGTATGTGATATTAGTTGGTCGGTGTGATTAAAAGATCGAATAGTGGAAAGTCAATTTAGGATGAAATGCATGAACACCAATGAGATTTGTCCCACTACACCATACGTCGTGGCACGTGTTACATGTGCTATGGCGCATGGCAAAGATTTTGCTTAAAGCAGATGTGCTCAACTCATGTGTTAGATGAGGGAAGGGAAGAAAAATGGGTGGGAGAAGAGGAAAAGAGCTTAGCAGTACTAGGGCATCAATTTGTGAAAACCAGGGAGTTTGCTCCGACCAGTGACTTGTCAGGTAAGTTTTGTATTGCACTATACTATGTTTCTACCTTAATTTCTCTAAGTTTGATTGATAGAGAAATTGAATCAAGGAGTTTTAAGGGGTTAAAATCTAAGCAAAAGGTTTTTAAAGGGCTTCTAGGTGTAAAACTAAGGTTTTACGATTGGTCTGGGATTTGATGGTTGAACCTTAAGTATATAGACTCAAATTAGCCTAAATGACAAAGTTAAAAAGGGATGAAAATGTTGATTTAATGAGAAAGAGGGTATTTTGATCAATTTGAAGTGATTATAGTGAATGTGTTAAATGAACTCAAGAGATACCATTGAAATGGTTATAGATGCTGAGTTATGTGGTTTTACTAGATTAGGGCCTTATGTTAAACTTAGAAGCTTACTAAAGATATTTAATTATGTAGATTGAGAACTTGAGAAGTTGCTCGTCAAAATTTGCACCCTTGGGAGTTAAATGTGAGAACAGTAACCCTTGGTAATAAGGGTAAAAAAGTAACTGAAATAACCCTTTTATTCGTTAGTTTGTAAAATGATTTACAAGTATTTTATATTAACTATATGCATTGTGTTTTATGAATTGATAGAGGAGCAATATTGTGAAAGAACTATGCATGCGTGTGTGTGAGTAATGTTTGCAATAAGGCTAGGAAGTCATGAAAGATCCTAAGCATTGATGATGATTCGCTAAGAAGGACCTAGAAGTATATGCATCCACGAGTGCACCCTAAACTAAGGTAGAGGGTCGTGGCCCTACTTTATGCAAGGCTATGAAGTCTCGATAGTCCAAGCATTGAGCGTGCTTTACTAGTGGAGACTCAAAAGACTACCAATATTTATGATACTTGGTCTGAGGCTGTGGTTTGATAGGCCCTATTTCGTGTAAGGCTGGAAGTCCTAGTTCGAACATTGAGCTTGTTGTACTAGGGGGAACCAGGAGTGCATGAGCATAGTGGATAAATAAGCATGTCATTGTGTGTATGTTTATTTATATTTCTCTCTATTGAAATTGATACTACTTTATATCTTGTATTTGATTTTGCTTACTAATCGATAATTGGACTTTATCCAAGTTATTGGAACTTATGTCTTACTCCGTTATCTTCTATATCTAGGTGAAAAGAGTACAAGAAGGTTGGGAAAGGAAGCGAGAAAAGATTAGCTTTACTTGATAGTGATATAACTACATTTATATGTAATGAAAATATATATATATATATATTTGTATTTAAAGAGTTTTGTGAGCCAAGTAGGATGTATATGTATATGTGTATATATACGTGTGATCGATGAGTGGTCATAACCTGCTTGTATATTTGATATTGCATCTCACTGAGTGTATCATAGTGGTGAATACATAGGTAGACGTAGATGTTATTCAAGCAAGAGTATGTTATGTTATATAACATAATGTGTATTTATGAATATAAGTTGTTGTATGATAATGTGTAGTTATGTGAAGCTTAATTAAATGGCGAGGCTTAGCCACATTTGTGTGTAAGTCACATGGATTATAATTCCCGATTATATGGTGAGGCTTAGCCCTATATACAGAAGTCGGATGGTTGAAAGTAGAACAAATGTATTTATGTTTATGTGGTTATGTGTATTACCTCATATAAGACCATAAGTGTGTAATGTGATATTAAGAGAACAAATTGTGTTTGTCATGTGTTATATGTGTTATGGTATGTCAATCAGGTGTATTTAGTCTTATTGGACTTGGTTCAAGACCTAAAGTGGTCTAATGAGGCAAGGTGTGAGAATTGAACATTTAAGGTGCTCAATTTTAAAGAAAAGTAACTTCTTACACTTGGATATCTAATTTAGGATCAAATCATTGGATCGTATCCAAATTTATTTAGATAAATTATGTTATAAGCTTCATGTAGGTACTTGAATTACTCCAATCGAATATCAAATATGAAAATGGAGCACGATGAAAGTTCATATCAAAAATCTGCCATGACAGCAGAATCTGATACATGCGCTGCGGTGTATGACACAGAACCAAAGCACGTTGCTCTGTATCACATGCCAAGGCACATGTAGTACATGCTCGACACGTGGTCTATTTTTAAGTAAAATAATGGTTTGACTTTTCTTGTTGAGTGGGGTGTGTCTGCGCTTTCATTAGCCCTTTCTATTGAACATATTTTCTACTAAGTTAGGATCTCGCATTTTAAAAACAAATTAAGGGCTATATCTATGATATTGTATTGTTATTGCAGGTTAAGATGTGGATGTGTAAGTAAAGCCCGAGGTGAAAATTGAGACTTTATAATGAGCATGATTATGACTATGAAAATTGTCATTTCATGGATTTGCATGATCATATATCGGTGGGGATTCACCCAAAAGAGTAGGGCATCAAGAAATCCATATATTATTCACTAACACTATGAGGCCTTGATGTTTTGGTTCTTGATTATTACCCTAGACTGGGTATTGCCCAGGACTAAGTGAAATGACACCCTATGAGTTTGAAATGGGAAAATCCATGGTCCAAGAATGTGTATAGAGCCTTGACTGGGTCACCCCCTTACAATTGGATAGCCGGGCTAATTCTATCATACGAGTTAGTTCTATATGATTTGACAGCCCATAT